CAAGGGTGTGTTTTGTCTTGAAGGAAGCCTCGCGCTGTGAACCGTCCAGACTAGGCAGTGAACCCAGGGGACTACAGACCCCGAAGAGTCCCATACTAGAGGCGCCATAGCTCCCCTGCAGCAGAATTCCGGGATCTCCCGAGGTGCGAGAACCGCCTGCTTGAGCGCCTGACCCTCGAGTGGGACATTGGGTGGCGCCCGAATTTAGCGTGTTGTTGTTGTTATTGTTCGAATTCGGGTAACTTCGAGAATTACCGTGAAGCAGTTGCAGTCTGCCGCTGATTTCCAGGGTCTGTTAGGTGCAAAAAAGGCACTTTAAGAATCCAGGACGTTGTTCACTAAACTAGGTGCGTGTTTATATGAATCTGGATACTCTGGCAATATCGAAGTTGGTCTGTTGCTGCCGACCAAAGTTTCTGTGACAGACTAACTCAATCCGGACTAGGCACATTCAGAATATGGTTGCCTCCTCCGAAGGAACGGTTACTCATGCGACGGTTAAGCACGATGTAAGATAGTCTTATTTCAGCTTTCTCATAGAATCCAATTTCAACTTGTCCCTGTTTTTTCTGCTAATGCTTATTAACCGAAGAAACACGAAGATCCTTTGCCGTCAACTGTACAAATTTACTTTGCCCTAATATCCGACAATAACATTCTTCTGCTAATAGCAGCATTTGTTTGTAGAACACGGGAATATGGGCACCCCGTATTGCTGGTGACATTGCGTCAAATTGCGGGGAGGGTTAGGGTTGAGACTGTGGGGATTAGTGTTAGAGTTTGGATTAAGATTAGACTTAGGACGGAAGAATGTGTAACTCCTCTGGAATTTGACACAGGGATGCCCGTATTACATGCGTTCCTTATTCCCGAGTCCAACCTAATTCTTTGAAAGTCATGCATTTCCAGTCGAATTGCGCGAGTGCACTAATGAATAAAACAAAATCCTTCGACCTAGCCTTTATGTGATACCGTCTAACTAAGCCAATCTAAGCATTGCCACAGCATAAGATTGCACGGACTGAATCCGTGTCCGTGACGTGTACTTGGCTTTGGCCATGTTGTTCATCAAAGGCGAATTCCTACAAATCCTGATGGATTAATTTCGTTCTTCCTGAGTTTGCCTTTACGCGATTCCAGGCATTTTATGGTGTCTTTCGATAAATCAGCCCAAATATGTCACCGGAATTTAACATAAGTTTTCATTGGTGTCAAAGGCGTTTAGTTTAACTACCAACTTAGGAAAAGGCTAAGAAATTGTGCAAATATTTGAATTTGAACACAGTTGGTACAGTAATTCATAAAACAAGTTAAAATAGCAAATAATCGTAAACGACTCCTAAGTTCTCTCCGATGTGTGGCTCAAAATTCGACAATAAAAATTTGGTGACTTCAGTCAAAAATATGGACGAAAACTGCGTGGGATGCACCGCAAGGTTGCATACAAATAATATATTTGCTGGAAAATGCATATTCCGGAAGTTGCATTCATGTTTAGTAGCTTACCAAACTGCACTCTAAGTATCTCAGGGAACATCCAGTTATGAAAAAATAGTCAGTAATGGAGAATACTAAAGACGTTAGGGCTGACAAACTCACGATTTTGATTATTCCCTGGCAGGTCAGCTCAACGATAATACGTCACAGAAGCGCGTCGAAAGGTCAAAAACAGCCAGCGAACACGGCTGATAGGGAGAGAGAGCTGAGACGAACCGTTATCTTTCGTTTCCTGAAGGCATACTGTGAGTTTTTATTATATGGCCTTGGTTTGGTCCATATTCTGCTATCTCTTTCCGGCTTTAATCTCACCATCTAGGGTTGACTTGACAATTAGAGCGCAA